CCAACAAATTGGATAATCTAGAAGAAACAGATAAATTCTTAGAATCATACAACCTACCAAAACTGAATCAAGAAGAAATAGAGAATCTGAATAGACCAGTCACCAGTAAGGAGATCGAAACAGTAATCAAAAACCTCCCAAAACACAAAAGTCCAGAACCAGACAGCTTCCCTGGTGAATTCTACAAAACATTCAAAGAAGATGTAATACCTATCCTTCTCAAACTCTTCCAAAAAATTGAAGAGGAGGGGAAGCTTCCTCACTCATTCCATGAGGCCAGCATTACCCTGATCTCAAAACAGACAGGGACAACGGAAAAAAAGAAAATTACAGGCCAGTATCACTAATGAACATCAATGTAAAAATCCTCAACAAAATACTAGCAAATCGAATACAACAATTCATTAAAAAGATCATACACCATTATCAAGTGGGTTTCATTCCAGGGATGCAGGGATGGTTCAACATCTGCAAATCAATCAATGTGATACACCACATTAACAAAATGAAGAATAAAAATCACACGATCATCTCAATAGATGCATAGAAAGCATTTGACAAGATACAGCATCCATTTATGATAAAAACTCTGAATAAAATGGGTATAGAAGGAAAGTACCTCAACATAATAAAGGCCATATATGACAAAGCCACAGCTATTATCATTCTCAATGGAGAAAAACTGAAAGCTACCCCTCTAAGAACAGGAACCAGACAAGGATGCTCACTCTCACCACTCTTATTTAACATAGTATTGGAAGTCCTAGCCAGAGCAATAGAGCAAGAAAAATAAATAAAAGGGACCCAACTTGGAAAGGAAGAAGTAAAACTGTCACTATTTGCAGATGATATGATTTTATATGTAGAGAACTCTAAAGAATCCACCAAAAAACTATTAGAAATAATGAAAGCAGAAAAGTTACAGAATACAAAATCAACATACAAAAATCATTTGTGTTTCTATATACTAACAACAAAGTAACAGAAAGAGAAATTAAGAATACAATCCTAGGGCTGGCCCAGTGGTGTAGTGGTTAAGTTTACATGCTCCACTTCGGCGGGTCAGGGTTAGTGGGTTTGGATCCTGGATGTGGAACTACACACTGCTCATCAAGCCATGCTGTGGTGGTGTCCTACATACAAAATAGAGGAAGACTGGCACAGATGTTAGCTCAGGGCCAATCTTCTTCACCAAAAAAAGAAAAAAAATACAACCCCATTTACAACTGCAACAAAAAGAATAAAAAACTAGGAATAAATTTAACCAAAGAGATGAAAGACCTGTACATTGAAAACTATAAAACGTTGTTGAAATAAATTGAAGAAGACACAAAGAAACAGAAAGATATTCTACACTCATGGATTGGAAGAATTAACAGTTAAAATGTCCATACTTCCTAAAGCAATCTACAGATTCAATGCAATTCCTATCAAAGTCCCAATGACATTTTTCACAGAAATAGAACAAAGAATCTGAAAATTTATATGGAACAATGAAAGACCCCAAATAGCCAAAGCAATACTGAGAAAAAAGAATAAAGTTGGAGGTATCACATTCCCTGATTTCAAAATATACTACAAAACTATAGTAATCAAAACAGCATGGTACTGGCACAAAAACAGACACACAGATCAATGGAACAAAACTGAGAGCCCAGAAATAAAACGACACATCTATGGTCAGTTAATTTTTGACAAGGGAGCTAAGAACATACAATGGAGAAAGGAAAGTCTCTTCAATAAATGGAGTTGGGAAAACAGGACAGCCACATGTAAAAGAATGAAAGTAGACCATTATCTTACACTATACAGAAAAATTAACTCAAAATGGACTAAAGATTTGAATGTAAGACCTGAAGCCATAAAACTTCTGGAAGAAAACATAGGCAGTATGCTCTTCAACGTTGGTCTTTGCAGCATCTTTTTGAATACCACGTTTCACCAGGCAAGGGAAACAAAAGAAAAATAAACAAATGGGATTACATGACACTAAAAAGCTTCTGCAGAGCAAAGGAAACCACCAACAGAACGAAAATACAACCTAACAATTGGGTAAAGATATTTGCAAACCATATCTCTGACAAGGGGTTAATATACCAAAATATATAATGAACTCATACATCTCAACAACAAAGAAACAAACAACCCAATTAAAAAATTGGCAAAAGAACTTAACAGACATTTTTCCAAAGAAGATATACAGATGGCCAACTGGCACACAAAAAGATGTTAAACGTCACTAATTATTAGGGAAATGCAAATCAAAACTACAATGAGATATCACCTCACTCCCGTCAGATTGGCTATAATTACTAAGACAAGAAATAACAAGCGTTGGGGAGGTTGTGGAGAAAAGGGAACCCTCATACACTGCTAGTGGGAGTGCAAACTGGTGCAGCCACTATGGAAAACAGTATGGTGATTTCTCAAAAAATTAAGAATAGAACTGCCATACGATCCAGCTATTCTGCTGCTGGATATTTATCCAAAGAACTTGAAAACACAAATGTGTAAAGATACACACACTCCTATGTTCACACAGCACTATTCACAACAGCCAAGACTTGGAAGCAACCTAAGTGCCCACCAATGGATGAATGGATAAAGAAGACATGATATATATATATACACAATGGAATACTACTCAGATATAAAAAAAAGGATGAAATCTTGCCATTTGCAACAACATGGATGGACCTTGAGGGTATTATGCTAAGCGAAATAAGTCAGAGGGAGAAAGTCAAATACCGTATGATCTCACTCATAAGTAGAAGATAAAAACAACAACAGACAAACACACAGACACAGAGATTAGATTGGTGGTTATCAGAGGGGAAGGACGAAGGAGCAGGGCTCAAGGGGTGACTAGGCACGTGTGTGATGGTTGATAGTTAGTCTTTGGGTGGTGAACGTGATGCAGTCCACACAGAAATTGAATACAGTGATATACATCTGAAATTTGTATAATGTTATAAACCAATGTTACCTCAACAAAAATAAACAGATAAATAAATAAATAAATAAATGGAAAAAGAAACCAAAGAATTTACTTGAAGGTCACAATGCAAAAAACAAAACAAACGGTTGGGTGTCACTGGTCCTGGGGGGGACTCGGGCTCAGGTCTGGGCTGGGGCCTGCAGCTGGTTTCCAGTTTGAGGGACAGGACTGGGTGACGGTAACTGGCGGGACACTGGGGCTGACCACCTGGCCCTCCCTCCTCCTAGCTTCTCTGTTTTAAGGTCCTCCTGCTCTGGAGACAGTCCATGCCTCCCCAACATGGGAAGAAGTGAGCTTGTCTGGGATGAACCTCTGGTGGTCAGCACCCTCCATGGCGACATTTAAGGAGAAGGCCTTTCTCAGAGAGAGGGTCTCACTATGCCCTCTCCCTTCTTGGCCCAAACCCACCTTCACCCTCCTCAAGGCCAGGGCTTCCCACCACCTCCTCCTCTCCATCTGTATCGTTCATTCCTCACTCTGCTCTTGGGGCCCTGTATTACCAAAGTTATTGTTTCACCCAAGATTTGCTCCTATCCAGACTAAATACTGATAAATAACCAATTGTGCAACCTGCCCTGGCTGCCTTCTAAATCTGGGGTTAGGCGTGCCCACCCAAAACTTCTCAGACTGGCCCAGGCAAATTGCACAATAAAGCACGTCCATCAATAACCCCATGGCTTTATTTCCCCGATTTGCAAACTGCGTACCAGCCAGGCTTTGTGCACTGTTGGAGGATAACCGGTTTCTGCCCAAGGTCTGAACGGCGGAGGCACGCCCTTCATTTGGGGGGATGGCGCATCTCTCTTTCTATTCTTTATCGAAATGCCCGATTTGCACACTTAGTTAACTTCTGGTTCTCACTAGCACAGCATTTTGTGGAACACTTTTTACGATTTTGTATTTTATGGTCTTGCAAGATGCTCCTCGCAAAAGGGAGCCCTTGATTTACCACAAGCTCATCTCCCTCACCGAAGAGGTTCGCAGTGCGCAGCCGCAGAGCGAGGTCCCGAGGGGTCTGGGGACAGGGACCCTCTCACTTTCTCTGCACAGCATTTCCCAGGGTTATTCACTGCAGAGCCCTTCCCCGGTGCCACCTGCCAACTTCCTGGGAACTCTTGTTCCTCAGAACTCACTTTGGTGACGTGATTTCTTATCCTTGTTACTTTCTACCTCAATGTAGGATTCAAGAGGCAATCCAAGGGGGTGTGGCGGGAAGAGGGTGGAGAAAGGGGTTCCTGAGGATGGGATCCCACCGAAGCGCCTGGCCCTCCCTCTGCAGACAGGGCTAAGATCCCCACTTCTCCAGAAGCAGAGTCTACACACGCCAAGAGCTGTCTGGGTACAACCCGGAACACGCCGTAGGGTATGTCTTGGCATCTGCTAGTTTCAAGCTAGGAAAACTCGAATACATGGTCGTTATTCAAAAGAAAAAAATACAGACAGACAGATAGATAAAACAAATGTGGCAAAATTATACCAATTGGCCCATTTTGGTGAAGAGTACATTGTATAATTCTTTCACTTTTTACGTAAGTTTAAAATTATCTCAAAATAAGGAAAAAAACATAAAAAAGGAACTGTCTGGATTTGAGCTGGTCCACCTTAACGTGAACCGTTAGCCTCTGATGTTGAATGGAGGAAGAGTTACCCCTGGGGAGGGTGCTGGTGTTTCAGACTCTGCGGAAGGACTCTTTCCTTCTTAGAAAGTACAAGTGAACAGCATCCGGTTCCCCTGAGCGTCGGTCCCGGGGGCCTGTGCACAGGGGCAAGAGCACGGCGCTGCCTGTCTCTGCTTGGAAACTGTGTGGCCCGAGGTGAGAAGTCTAACCTCGCAGAACCTCAGGGTGCTCAGCTGGGAGAGGAAGCAATGATGCCTTCTCTTGTCTCTTATCATTTTAGGGGAGATGAAATGAGATTCTGAAAGGGTACGTCACTTGCAAATTGCAAAGAATAACGCTAACTCTAAGTTGGTAGGAGAACAAAGGTTAATAAAATCGCTTACCAAGAACAGATCCCGGATAAAGAACTTCGCTCTTGTCACTTTGGGATCTTCTCCCGCATCTGGTGTTGCTGTAGAAATTACAAGTGGAATTTCATTTAAGTGACATGAAACAAAGATATAACTCTATGGAAAATATAGAGGGAATCCCAAAGTTGGACTGCTGTACACTCAGCATTGAAACACACAGATGGCAAGGCAAAAAGCTAAAATGGAACTTTCATTCCCCCCTTCTCCCAAGTCATTTTAATTTTAACTGTTATAGCTCTGATGAAACTGTTTTTTGGTGGTGTAGGGGGATAACTTCCCCTCAAATAAAATGAAAGCATCTCACTGGACACTGCCCATCAGCACACTGGCTTCACCTTCAGAGCCCTCCCGAGGAGAGAGGACTTGGCAGCCCCCAGGAGCTGGGCGCCAGGCCCATGGCAGTGGTTTCAGGAGTAGCTGCACTCATCTGGGCTGCGATCTCATTCCATAAGACTTGTTCCTGGGGAGACCCCCCTCCTCCCTGCCCCTCCCACAGACTCAGGCATTTGCAGCCCCTAACTGAAATCAACTGTAGTGACTATTCTGACCCTAGCCCTTCCTGAGTCTTCCTCCCACATAGATTCTAAGTTCACGGGATCATTCAATATTTTCTGTGATTCCATGAAATCTATTTTCCTAAAATCTAGGCTCCAACTCTTCCTTCTCTGTTGCAACTACTGTGACTACATCATCATGCATGTGCAGCAGGAGACGGGGAGCCAGCGCTGAGTCAGGCCTGACCTGGAGACCCACCATGCTCGGCCTCGGGCAGGAGCCTGGTGTGCAGAGGGGAGAGAGGAGAAGCAGGGAGAGGAATGGGGCCGGGGAGCAGCACAGCAGCCACTGAGCGTCTGGGGGAGGGGCAGAATCCACTGAGGGTGGGGAGAACACAGGATCCACTAAGTGTGGGAGGGCGAGCACAGGACCCACCAATGAGGGCAGCACAATATCCACTGAGAGGAGCGGGGAGGACAGCTTTTAGTATTTCCTGGCCAGGCTAGGTTTGGCCTCAACTTGTGGTGAGATGAAGCCAACAGTGGTAGGGATCATAAGCAGAGTTATGGTTGTGTTTCAGAAAGATGACTTTGGCAGAAGTTCAGAGAATGTTCCGGAAAGCTGAGTGACCAGAATCAGGGAGCCTGGGCAGGAAGATACATTGACCAGAACTACAGCTGAGATGAGGGAAAGGAGGGCCAAGACCAAGGCAGTGAGGAGGGAAAGAAAGAGGAGCACGTCATAGTGGGCATTTTGGAGGTAAGCTCCGCTGAGCTTGAGTATTGACGGGTGTGAGGGGATTCTGGGGCTGGCTACTGGGAAAGTTAAAGACGACGCGGCTTGCTGAGAGACTGGTAATCCAGCAACAGAGAGAGCAACACAAGCGGTGCGCTGATGATTTCCCTTAGGCGGGCGGCACACTATCTACAGCCTTGGAAAGGACACCACCAGGCTGGCTGAGGTTAGTGCGAGATGATGAAGAATTTTCTCAACTTCCTAACCCAAGTTTCTAGGGAAGTCCCTTTCATTCTGCTTTATCTAGTTTGGGATTTGGATTTTGAGAAGCGGTGTTACTTCGCTGTAAACAAATCCCTCCTACAAGACTCCTGTGGCCCAGCGCATGCTCAGAACGGAAGAGCGGCAGTGGGAAACGGGATTACCAACTCTTCGGGTTTGTCCGGGACAGGAATTCTGGCTCTAGCACTGCAAGTCCCACATCCTGGCAACCCACGCAGTCTCTGGGGGCCTGGGATGGCTGGTCAGTCTGACAGAAATCCCCAGTGTTGCGGCCAAAGCCATCGCTGGAGATGAGATGGAAATATGGCAGCTGAAAGTGTGGGCTCAGGGCTGAAGGGTTCCAAGATTGCCTTCCTTCCCAGGTTCCATCTGAGCGAGCTTGAACACGTGACTTTGGCTTTCTCAGCCTCACTTTCCACAGGAAAACATGAGACTAACGGAACCTCCCACATAGGTTACTGTGGGGGTCCAGTTTGAGGGCAGCTGTAAAGGGCTGACACGGGCCCAGTCCACAACAGACCCAACCAAGCCACCAAGAGGCAGAACTCACCCAGCAAATGACATACGCACACCCAAAACTGCCCTTTCTCCTGCAGCACAGTTTGTACAGAAAGTCAAACTGAAATGTCTATAAATGGAATCCTAAATGGACATTTTAATACTCTAGTACTTGAGGATGGGGCAGTAGCCAAGAGAATTGATTTAAATTAATTAAATTTCCAAGATTCATCAGAAGTGTTTGAATTATAGTTATAGGGCTACTGAAAGAAGAATTCTTTCCCTTCTTTGGGAGAAATTTGTTTTAAAATCTTACCATCTTCAGGAACAGTATAATTTGCATACTCTGGGAAATAATCTTCAATTTTTGATTTCCCTGCCAAGACTTTTTCTGCCAGCATATCCTGTTTGTTCAAGAACAAGATGATAGAAATGGTCCGTAACCACCTGAAAAGAAGGAAACACAAATGTCATATCCACTAGTATATGAAAGTACCTCTAGTGTAGAAGTTTTCCACTGAAAAGGACAACACTGCCATCTTCCTGACACTGTGTAAGATTTAGAATTATTTGATAGACCAATATCTTGGTTCCCTCCTCCATCTTCAAGCAAGACATTCTTACAATGACAAACAAGTAAACACAGGAGGCAGGTGATCTGGAGCGCAGTACTTTCTAATTCAGCTCTACTGGGGATATAAATTCACTGGTACCAAAGCCAAGGTTTACTTCTGGAATAGATACACTTGGATTTTTGTGGTGTAGTTTACTAATAAAGGGTCAGAAAACAAGAAGAAGCTAAGGCATTGACAACAACAATAACAAATACTCTTTAGCTAATGGCACAGAATGTAATGCGTGGCTGGCGTGGGTCTTTCTCCTCTGCCTCTGAGCAGGTTGGAGGTTCTCCAGATGTGGAGCAGGATGTTAACCAGATCTCGCTCCAGATCACCGCACTGGACAAGCTGAAGGGAAAGGCTCAGTGGCGGTGAGGGTGAAGGAAGGAGCGTTCTCTCTGTGTTTCATTAAATAGACACTGGGAACTAGCTTAAGACAGCGCAGGTGTGCTGATCGGCAAAGCTATCGGACATTCTATTACTTCAAAGGAATCAGCTGATGATTAGCGTGCAGGACTAGATGAATCAGAAACACAATCCATTTTCCTCCCAAATGGAAATAGCCTTACTATTTCTAAACTGTAGTTATAAAACACATAATCCTTCTAAAAATGAATCTGTAACTATAGAAAAATACATAGAAAAAAATCAAATTGCACCCAGAGACATTCACTATTAGAATTTTTTAAAAATCAACTATCTCTAACAACTCTTTTCTTTTATTTGCAGGGAGAGATTCGACCTGAGCGAACATCTGTTGCCAATCTTCCTCTTTTTTTCTTCCTCCCCAAAGCCCCAGTACCTAGTTGTATATCTTAACTGTAAGTCCTTCTAGTTCTTCTGTGTGAGCCACTGACACATCATGGCAACTGACAGATGGGTGGTGTGGTTCTGCACCCAGGAAACGAACCAGGGCTACTGAAGCAGTAAGAGCGCCAAACTTTAACCACTAGGCCATCAGGCTGGCTCTAGAATTTTTATGTTTTTACTTCCAGGCTTTGTTTTTCTATCCTCACAGATATTTATAAAACTAAGATCATGCTGTTTTTAAATCTGCTTTTTCATTTAACAATATTGCAGTCATTGTCCCATGTGACTGTATATATATTTGTGAGTGTGTGTGTACACACACATATAAATATGTATATATTTATACATATATAAAATACACTTTTTTTCTTTTTTGAGGAAGATCAGCCCTGAGCTAACATCTGCTGCCAATCCTCCTCTTTTTGCTGAGGAAGACTGGCCCTGAGCTAACATCCATGCCCATCTTCTTCTACTTTATACGTGGGATGCCTGTCACAGCATGGCTTGACAAGTGGTGCATAGGTCTGCACCTGGGATCTGAACCAGTGAACTCCAGGCCACCGAAGCAGAGCGTGCAAACTTAACTGCTGCGCCACCAGCCTGGCCCCTACGTAGACATTTTTAATGACTCCAAAGTACTCTTTTGTATACCCACTATTTCCTGACACGCTTTTTTCCCCCTTAACTGTTTAATACTATAAAACTGAGAATAGTTGTTGCACACTTGATAGAGAAATACTTTTCTGATAATCCAAACCTTTCACGAGGTCAACTTACATTTCCTATCCTCCTTGGTGATATTTCCCCCTAAATATTTCAGAAGAAACTTTGATTTTTAGCTCTGTCTCAATGTGTTGTGTGTGTGTTTGCTGGCTGCTCCTTTCTAAAACCACCCCCTCCACCCTCCGCAGCACCGGCAGTCTCAGATGTGGTTCCGCCGTGCTTTCGCACTGTAAGGACTTTAGAGATCATCCAGTCACTTGCGGATGTTTAAAATTGGTACTTTCTAAATTTTAAAAGCCCAACAAAACCAATTTTGAACTACGTATTACCTTATGCTTTCAAAACAGATTTACATTTTCTTGACAAAGCACTATCAGAGCCCCATCAAGGAATGCTCCCACGTTAAGTGTGTGTATACATGAGATCGACCAGAAGAGATGCTTCTCATGGTTTGGATTTATCAGTAAGGCAAGAATGAATATATATGGAGAATAAAAATGGAAGTGAGCTAAGTGGTATTTCTAATGAACGAAAATTTGTATCCAGCGGTGAGACTGACTTTATTATTTGTATAACCTGTTGTTCCAGATGCTCTCGAAAAGGTCCAGGGACTCTCTCAGCCTGTTGGTGTTGTTGTCTTCCCGAATCACCATGTTGTAGCTACTGCAGGCCGCGACGTAGATGATAGCCGTGACGTCTTTGTGGGACAAGAGGGCAAAAGGGAAGCATGCTAGTTAGACAGACAGTGGTTGTGGGGGTATGATAAAGTACACATCCAAGGGCTACTTATTTCCACAGAAATTTTCATTCCATGATTAGAAGAATGACTTAAATAAGCACCGCGCGTATAACTGTTTCAGTAATGCACCTGACCAGGGGTCTACCCAAACTAGCAAACGAGGAATGTAAATTCGGGATGCTTAAATTCTTTATTTACGAGATTCATATCTAAGGCAATTTATGGATGATTAATTCAAAGCTACTTAGACATAGCAGCAGGAGCGAGTGTGAGAATTCATCCCCATTTTCTTGAGAGAGCATAGAAGTCACCGTTAAAGCACTGGATCCATTTTCTTCTCTCGTCCCTCTGGCCACCGACATCAAACATGCTGCGGAAGAACAACGGGACGACAGTTCTTAAGAGCTCGTGGAGCCACGCGCACTCCCAAGCCGGCCTGCGGCACTGCCCGCTGTGAGCCCTGAGGTTCCGCACCACCTCACCCGGCCTGGGTGTCCACACCCAGTTCCTTCTTGGCTTCTTGGGCTCACACCACTCGCCCGCGCTCACCAGGGAGGCTCGGCCCCTCTTCTCAGGGCAGCCTGCGCAGCGCCCTCTGCCCGAGCGGCATCTCCTGGCTGCAGTTTCTCTCCACCTACGCAAATGCCACGAATCTTTCTCACCTGTCAGGCATCTCTGGCTCTCAGATTCCTCCCTTCCCTAAACTTCTTGCATGTACTTTAGGACCACACAGTCTGGATTTACTTATCTGAAAGGGTAGTGATGCACATTCGGGATCCCACTCCCTCCATCTTGGTGCCCGTGGGCCACAGGCTGGGCCTTCTGACCACACGCCCATCAGGGCCCCAGCAGGCAGCATGGCTTCCTGCCCACACCTCTGCAGCCGGCCGTGCTCTCAACACACTTACTGAAAGTTTACTTTGTCCACTTGGAATCGTGTCTCAAAAATCCCTGATGTCAGAACTCTGCATCTGAGAAGGTCCTGGGAGCAAGAAGAGAGAAGCAAAACAAATGACGTCATTGTTCTCCTTCAGAAGGAAAGCCTGGATGCAACCATAATAATTGAGTTTTTCCAACAGCAATTTCTTCCATTGTATAAGAAACAATAATAATTAAAAACTCAGACAAATGTTCTGTCCCACTCCTCAGAGAAAATCACAATTAATGTATTGGTTTGACCTTGGAGACTTGAGAGCTGTGCTTTTATTTTCTTTAGGAAGTTTTTTTTATCATTCGTGGATGCATCCCACTGACTGTCAGGCATCTGAGAACCAAATCACATGCTGAGTGTTCGGGGCAGAGACACTGCCGCGCTCTGCGGCTACAACAGGAGAGCTGCCGGCCATGGGTTCAGAACCATCTGGTGACAAACCAAAGGAAGCGTAACTCTGCATTCACAAATCATAGATTTTTTTGGACTGGATGCTGGTTGATTAGATTTTCTCTCTCTTGCCTGCATATTCCTGTTCTCTGTAGGATAATAGATGATGCAGGCCAGAGGGGATGTGAAAGCCGTTCAGTTTTACACAGCTGACGACTCGTACATCTGTCAGATGTCAGGGCTGTTTTTTTCTGATCACCAAATCCATTATGATGTTAATTAAGCGGCTGCTCTGCAGTAATTCTGGAAGATGGGAGGCGGTCCTCCCCTCTCAGTCTGAAGAGAAGTGTTCAGGACGGCCCCAAGGGATTGGCACAAGACTAGGAAGGCTTGATTGCTCTGTCTGATAATCTCGAGCTCTTGGAGTCAGCCTCAGAGAAACTGACTTCGGGGGAGAGAGGAGCTCAGTCCTCCAGGGGAGGCAGAGAAGAGACAGCCTCCAGCAGAGGCCCACGGCCAAGGCCCTCCAGGGCACACAGACACTGGGGAGCGTTGCAGAAGCAGGTTCAATGGAGCCCCCCCCAACTTCCTTGGAGTTCACTAGCTCTAGAGGCATCTGGGGGCGCTCCTAAGCGGAGCAGTTCAGGATCACTGAGTCTCTGCAGATACCTGAGGGTGGAAGGTTGCTCTCTGCTACCTAACAAACGTGCAGTGGGGCGCTTTTCTCCAGCTCAACCCAAAGGAGACACTCTGGGTTACACCTGGAGAGTGTGCTTGTGGTCTGTGACCCAGACCGGGGCCAAGAGCAGAATGGGCACAGTTTATGAAGCTGGAGAAGTAAAGGTTTAGTTTTCTGCTGACATCTCCAATAGAAATGGGAATTGCATATTGCTATTCCACAGATAAAATTATTTCAATATTGCCAATTTAGAAATCTAGTAAGTTTCAGAGAGCTAAGTCAGGGGCAAATCACAGGGTGGGGCAAACACACCACGTGCACAGCAGGGACAACACAATTAGCAAAGGGTAGTTATTTTAAGGATTTTTCCCTTAATCTACGTGTAAATAACCACCGAACAGCACTGGCAGTCCCTCTAACCTCCCGAGTTTCCGCCGGCCGGGCGCAGGTCTAGCTTCACATACCTGGTCTGTGGGTGTGTAGTCCACCAAACTGACGCTGTCGATTCTTTCCAGGAAGCTGAAAAGAAAGCCAGCACGAGCTCAGAAGGTTCTCTGAGGACTTTCTCCTGGGTTGTGGAGTAGGGCACGGGGACAGTCACACGCCACGGGAGGACAGGGCAGGGGGAGGCTGAGGGAGGCGCCCACTGTCTCTCCTGAAAGCATCTGCCTGGATAGCACACGGCTCCTCACGGAGCGGCTAGGACTGGATCCTTCTTCCTCTCCCCTCTGCGGCCCCTTCCCTCGTGCCCACGGCCGCAGGTCGGGGTGAGGGGCCGCTCAGAGCTGGGGAAGGGGCAGGGCCTCCTTCCAAGGCCAGGCTAGCAGAAGGCCATGCTGCGACGGCAGTGCAAAAGGAGGAGCGAGGATGTTCCCGGGGCGTGAGAAGTCCGAAGATGATGCAGAAGCGATGTGAGCGTGTCCGCGTGCTAGCGGGAGGGATCCCACGTGCACACCCGGCCGAGGCCCTGCGTGTTACCGACCAGCGGGAGGGCGGCGCCCGAGGGAGAGGAACCGGCAGGTCCCGCACCGGCCGCAGCTGAAGGCCCCGCAGGCCCCTCTCCCTCCGCGGGGACCGCCCTCACCCCCGCGGGGCCTCCCGCCGCCTGAGCGCCCGCGTCCATCTCCGCGCCAGCCCCGCTTTGTTCTGCATAGCGCTCGCCACGGCCCCGCATGTTTTACATCCATCCATCTGTTTATTATCTGTATCTTCCTCCAAAATGGACGACCGACAGGGCAGGGCTTTGTCCTGTTGGCCCAGGTATCCAGGACCCAGCGCTGGTGGGCCCTGAACATCTGCCGGATGAACGCGCGTCCGCCCCCTCCTCGCCCACAGCCTGGGGAGGTGAAAAGCGCGCCCGAGAGGCTGGGCCACAGCGGCTGCCACACTTGATTGTCAAGACACAGGAAGAGAGGGGCTGGTAAACTAGTGAGGAAGGACCATTTCCGGAGGGCGAGGGGCACAGGGGCTTCCGAATGGAAGCAGGGCATGTGAGGAGAGGGAGGGTCTCAATGGCCCAAGCTCCCCAGGCCTTGGGTGTCCGTGTGGCCAGGGTGAGGTTCTGGGACTGGGGAGGGTGAATGTGACCTAGAGGGACAGCAGCCGACCCCCTGCCTGTCCACCCCTGGATGGTTTGGGTTCCATCACTGGGCAGCTGAAGTGAGCAATGACCCAGCCTTCCTTTAAGCCCATGTGCTTGTGGGCATTGGGCACAGCACAGAGGAGGTGTCACCCCCTCACCGCCCCCCCACCCCCATCTCCACACATCACCAGCCTGCACTGCTGGCCCTTGAGTGGCATTCAGCTCAGGCAGGAGGGAGGCCAAGACACAGGAAGGCCGCTTAATTCCCTTGGCCATCTTAACTCTTTCCTACCGGAAAGCTAAAGATAGCCTCAGGTGGCCCGAGATGGCGGCCTGGTGCTGGGGTGACAATTTGGCAGCCCTCCATCCACATGCCCTTGATTTAGCACAAGGCCCAGCTGCTCCAGAATCAAGACCTACCTCAGAGCTACAACAAGGGGCACCTCCACAGCAGGGAAGCCACAAGCAGAATGTAGGAAGGGGCAAGAGCGGAGCTGCTGGTGTTAGGGATGTCCTTTCAGAGACAGGAAGTGGTGGGGCAGCATCAGGAATGAGGTCGTTTCAGCTGGAGGACAGGGCCATCTCACCCAAGGGGAAGGCAGCTGTGGAGGGTGGTGTCTGTGACTGCACTGCCTGCCCTGGGAGTTGTCAAAGAAAGTAAACTGCTCCTGGAGAAGGACTGCAGGGCTATGGCCAGGTGGCAAGGCCACTGAGCAGCCAAAGGGACTCCTACCTGCCTGCAGCCTCTCTGGGCACTACGAGCCCTGGTAGGTGCTGCGGTGTACCAGAAGGTGGGTGAATTGGCCCAGGGCACAGAGCTGGTACCTGAGGAGGAAGAGTTAGGACAGAATGCAAACAACCCTGGAAGTGCCGCCTGGAGGGGCTGCCTGGGAGCTGGAGAATCACGGGAGGCCCCAGGGTCCCGAGGCTCCAGGGAGGGGAGGGCCCTGCCCTGGCCTGAGGCCTGGTTTGAAAACCACAGTGTAGTTTGGCTCAGTCCCTGCCGGCCTTGAATTCAGTGGAGTGGTGAGTGCCTCAGAAGCACACACTGAGTCCTGACCATCTAGCAGGAAAGGAGCAAAAAGACTGGGATGAAGTGAGGGAGGTTTCTGCTCCTGGAAAGGGAGCGCTGGACTGGAGCCCCGACAACCAGGCAGGTCTCCGTGGGGAGGTGAGCTGCTCCTCCCTTTTCCCCGCACCGGGTAGGCTACAATAATTTGATTCAGAAATGCTCTGTCGTCTTGGCAGGGGACATAGAATACTGCACATGTGATACGGAACCCAATCACTTCTGACTGAAAGGGCTGGAAGGAACTGAAAGTTAAACTAAATATGAAGCCTTTGGCTAAGTGAGGGTTTAGGAAGCAATGAATTTCAAACAGGATGCAGATGGGGTGGAGGGAGGTGGGCGAATTTATTCAGATGGTAATTACAAGTATAAGTAGAAACAATGAAATGTGGTTAAAAAAATACATCAGAAGTTCTTGATAGGTGTGATTAAAGACTGCCTTCTGAAGGATGCAGTGGGAGTACCTTCCTGAACACTTATTGTAAAATAAGTGGTTCTGAGATGCCAATGACAAAGGCGAAGATGTCAAGTTCTTTTCCATCCCTAATCTCCAGGATGGGTATTCAAAGTTCCTTCCAGCTCTGATACTTAACCATCTAACTGAGAACTGAGAGGTATCAAGGAACATTTCCAAAAGTATCTTCTTTTGGCACTCTTTTTGGATTGTTACTGATGCTGAATGGTATTCTGAGTTCTTGGATTTCATGCGTGTGCCATGGAAATAAAATGGGAAAATTCCCCTCTGGATGTAAATGTGTCCCCCAGTTCTTTGAAAGACTCTCTAAGGAATAAAGGAATAATGTAAAAATCTATAGCAGTAGATTTCTGTCAGCCTTTTGCCTTAATCTTTGGTTCAGTCAGCATATTTCCTACCATGTTGTAGAAGTACTTCAAATTGGGGCTCCTAAGATATCTAGAGATGACTTTTAAGAGTCTTCCCAATCATACACAGAATATCACGTGACTACATTTTAAAGGGTTAGTAACACTGTCTTCTTAAATATGCACTGTCTGTTAAGCCAAAAAATTAACCAGATTAAAGAATTTCCCTTGTAGACCATTCATTCACACTAGACACAGAGTTGCAAGACAATACCAAATGACAATTATGAAAAATACCCTCATTATGGACACTATAAAAGAGTAGTTAAAAAGCAATTTACTATTTTTTTTTCATTCTTTCCTGCTACAGCTGAGGATATTCATGTTTGCAGAAGCATTTTTATTCTCATCATTTAGACTCCCCCTTCTGTTTGATATTGGCACAAAATGGCGATTCCTGATTTCTCTCTCATCTGCTGTCTGCAACCCCACTAAAATAAGTCAAAAGTTACTAAGTTGATCATGAACAGGGACAAGGGATCATGAAATGATGAAAACTCTTCGGTTAAGTGCCTTTAAACAGCTGGGTCTGAGAAAATGCACCAACTAAATTTAATTAAAAGGTCATTAAAATTATTTCTTTTGTGTAAAATGTAGCAAGGTGGAACTCTGTCAAGAACTTTTCTCAGTGTGTTATTAAAATTTACTCATGATGCGTATTTACATGATACAATAATGCTATGGAGAAAACTATTACCTATATAGTAACAAAGCCCCAGGCAGTGCCGGGTGCAGCAGGGTCGTGATCCTTGCTACTTGAGAGGTGGTCCTCAGAGCAGCAGAGGCAGCATCTGCAGATCTCAGGAATCAGGATGTACAGCTGAACCATATCCCCTGGTGAAACCGTGACCCACGTGCACATCAAAGTGTGCGATGCACTGTGCCTGGCCTCTCCGTTTTTACTGCCACCACACTCCAGGCTCTGATCTCTCTTCACCTGGACAATAGCATTTCTGATGGCTCACGCTCCTGCTCCTGTCTTTAGGGTAAAGTTCACACTTCTAATCTGGCCTCCAAGCCCTTTACAATTTGTCCGATCTCTTCATCACTCTTTTTGATGGTAAACCCTCCATTCCAGTCAAATCCCCATGTAGGGTTTGGCCTCTCAGACCTTTGTGTAATTCCCACCTTTTTTTCTTTGAAGCCCCAGATTAAAAACCCCACCTCTTCCAAGAAGCCAATTCTAAGCACCACAGACACTGAAATCCTGTTCCCCACGTAGACTTACTGTTTCATGATTTGATTGTCAACTGCTTTGTACAACACGTAGAAATCATTGTACAACATGATTTGATTGTACACTGCTTTATATTGAGATTTACCCTTTTTGAAAGTTGGGGTATAAAATACACAAAGTGTGTAAAGTGCACTAATCCTAAGTGTTCATCTTGATGACCTTTATACATCTGGATACACTCATGTCCATTTTTCTCTTTATGTGGCTACCTCACTGTATTGAGCACTGTTTAAGGTAGAAGCGTGTCTTTTATTTCTAGAAAGAAGCCCCAGAGAGCCAGCACCCAATATACTTAGTCTAAATCTCTTATTCAGCCATTCTGAATAAACACTGCTGAATTGTTTGTCCTGACACTCTTCAGGAGAGAGGGAGCAGGAGCAAACGTTTCACTGTGGAGAAATGCTATGAAGGAAAAGTTACAGTGCTTCTGAGGATACACAATGGGTCTCCGGCCCAGGGCTCACTGCATCCACTTTACCCACCGTGTCCATTGTCATTAGAGAGCTCTCGGGACGATCACGAGTGACAGCACCCAAGGGAGGTGTGCATTCATGCCGACACACTACCAGGAGCCAGCTGAGCTGGGCACCACCCCAGGCCCAGTAACTGTGACCGAGACGGACCTTGTCTGGTCCTGCTTCATACGGAACTTACCATCTAGTGGTAGGAAAACGAATCTAGGCAAACTAGACAGACATTTTCCTAATTCCAGTCAGTTGATTAAAAGAAAAAAAAAATTACGACGGCCTGCTCACCAATCTGTTTAATGTCCACTGACTTGTAGCTTTTTTGCCCTTAGTACCAAAGGTCTTGAGCTTTGGATTTCAGCTACAGACGCCTCCAAAAGGGTGCTGTGCGTATTGCAGAGGACTCTAGAACACAAGGTCCCTCACTGCTGCTTTACAATGTGAGACTGTCTGGCTGACTCTAAGACTATGTTCAGCTAATAAGGTTATCAGACTGCTGTTTATTTTAGGTGGCTCTTTCCTACATCAAAGACAGCAGGGCAGGCACGTGGGGTCCAAGCCTATAGCACACCTTTGTCTAAAAGGCACACACGTGCGTTAACAATCCTTCAGGAACAAACAGGTTGTTAGAAAGTTCTCCAATAGTGCACTTATCATCTGATCTGAAATAAAATAACAATCCTTAAAATAAACTAAAATTTTATTCTAAATCTGTTAGAAATGGTATATTTGAAGGCAGAAAAACAAAAACGAGAAATAAGAGTAAAAGTTGTACTGGTAGTTGCATGAAAATTAACTATTTCCTTGGTATATTTGAATTGGATCCTTTTGTAAATTATATCTATCTTTAGCCCAGGGAAGCTTCAATGTGAGGAAGAATCTTGTTGCCATGAAGAAACTATTACAGTAAAGAAGTAATAGTTAGGGCTTCTAGAAACATATATGAAAATTCCACGCTAACCAAACCGAAATTCAGGTGGTTAAGGGTGAGTTTGGGAAAATATCATGCCTTCTGAACCAAGTCTACCTCTGAATTCTTTTTCTTAAATAGCTTTTTAAACAGGATGCACACTCATAGGCATTGACATGCAGTTTAAAATGATTTATTTGACAAACTTCTGTGGTTTACATTTCAGCATTTCATTAACTGCAAAAATGAGGAAATAATTCATGGGCCTGGTGTGCTTTTGAAAATAATATTTTATGGTTCATAAAAATGTACATTCATATTGTTTGAAATCAACATATTTTAAGAAAGTTCAAGCATTGTTTAATCTCACAAAATATATTATTTTGTTGGGAATATTTGCACTATAAAAGGATCTTCAATTTACCAAAGGATTCAACACTAAGCTATTTTTTAAGTTGCAATTATTTTTTCCAGTCTAAAGAGGGGTTACAAATCATGCTGCACTCACACACAGCTGCCTCTGTACAGCCATGCAGATGAGAGGGGCGAGTTCTACAAAGATGCAGGGCAGAGAACTGACAGTGTCCCTTAGAGAAGACTTCAGAACAACATCCAGTCAGATGTAAAGACACTTAAATATGAGGATCAGTCCTCATCTGCATACACTTGTTCACTTTTATTTATTTTAAACACACTCATTCACACTGGAAAACATAATAGTGAAGACTTGGTTATCAATCTTTCAAAGGGCTTAGAAGAGTCCCTATAATTATTTTCTGAAACACTGGAATTCTCTTATGGAGAAATCTTCCAGTGAAGGAAAGGGGGAATTTAAAATATCCTTAAATATTTAACTTATACTAATATAACTGCCAAGACAAAAGCAAGTCCCTGTTCTCCATGTTTTCAGGCTATGAGAAAGTGATGGCTACAGGCTTTACTTTTCAGCCAGAGAATATACACTGCCACTCCAGAAAGATGGAAGGCAGCACAGCTGGGCTCTAGCTTTAGAGGGCCAAGCCTGCTGTCCAATCCTGCATCTTTTCCGTTTTCCCAGACTTCCAGCTGGCTGCGTGTATGTTTAAGTCATTTGCATGGCTAGGTAAAACATTCCACCATATATCTCCAAGGCTTTTAAAGAGTTGTTGCTTTAAGACAAAATAATAAATGCAAATAATCAGAACTTAAAATGTGGTTCTAATTTCATTTCTATTTTTGTTAAAATAAAAACAAAACCTACAACACACAGTCCTGGATTTTCTCAAATCAATCAACAGTTCTTTGGCAATGTTAAGAGTGAGTGATATGACTGCTGTGCTAATTAACATACTTTACAAGAAATCTAATTAAAGTATTGAAATAGGAAAATGACTAGAAACGTGTTAGAGAAGTTCATTTGAAGAAACTGTCGTGTTAAATCTTTTAAGTGTTTTTAAAAACTCTTTAGTAAGTAAAAAGATAAATGAACAATTTTTTCTTATAATAAATGGAAGTTACGTGGCATTTTTTCCAGTTATAAGACAACTACAATGGGAAAAATTTATAGAACATAAATAGTAAAAGAGTATTATGCAAGACTGTCCTAAGGTAATTTTAGTGTTAAGTTAGGAAAACAGGTTAATAGTCAACTGTAGTCTTGATTTGACGGCAAAAAACAAAGGATACAGAAACAGCACAGTCCATTAAATAAGTTGAATTGAGGTACTGACAGCTCTGTAATCAACCCAATCATTCTCTCTTTAATTTTTACGTGCCACCTGTCAATTCTAGATAGTATCAATTACACTAAATTTTAAAAAATAACCAATTTTGATAATTCGGGCAGAAAACTGAATACACAGGAACGAGAGTTTTGACGAAATTTTGGAGAAAGATTTACATACACCAAATTAACTACTACTGTTAAAAGGCCGCTATAATAACACACATCATTACAAGCTATAGAAAACTTTAAAATGCAGTTAAGAGTGGAGAAAGCCTGGAATTTCTTAATGTATCCGGAGAGCACTGAAAACCCATGGGTAAAAGCATTTTAAGTAAAGAGCATTTCAGCATTCTGGCACGTTCAGAGTTTCTAGTGTATAGTATCTTTCTAATATACAGAGAGCATTTCAAAAGGTGGCTACGGCCAGGAAACCTCAGAGTGGGTTCTGTGTCACACTTGATCCCGCAGGCGGGCCAGTCTCTGGGATAGTTCATCCTGCTCGGCCGAAGCCACGCTCGTAGCCACGGAGCCGGTCTGCCCCTGCGGCAGCTCCATGTTGAGGTCTAGGCCGGCCTCGTCTGCCATTTCCTGGAGCAGCATATCCACTTGGTTCTGGGGAGTGGTCAGCGTCGTCGTGCTGCTCATCGTGTCTTCCATTTGCTGCGTCTGGACATCCAGCGTCTCAAACTGGTGCTCGAATTTGTCCATTAAGGCAGAGATCTTCTCCAGATTCATGGTCTTCAGCGTCGCATCCATCGACTTAACCACACCGGCCATCGACTTGGTCACCTTGCCCATCGTCACCGCCGTCTGGACTCTGGCAGCCACAGCATCAACCCGCGCACTCATTCTCAAGAAATTCACCGCCTGGTTCTTCTGGCGAATGGCATTTTCGGCGTGAATCCTCGCAACTTCCATGTTGCCCTTCTGAATGGCCTTTTTAATTTTGGCCTTTTCGGCCTTTTCCTCCTTGTCGCATTTTTTGGCACTCCTGCTCAGTTCTTTGGCCGCGAACTTCAGGTTGAACAGGTGTTTCTCCATGTTGGACATAGTCGGACGGCTCTTTGGGGGTCGGCGGCCCGGGCCGAGAGGCGCGCAGAAGGGAAAGAGGAAGAGAGAGGTCCGCTCCCGGCCGCCGCTCCTTTGTTTTGGTCCTACTTCCTGTTTCTACCTGCGCGGCGCAGACGATGACGTTAAGTCAGGCGCCGAGGGGCGGGGCCCGCGGGCCGGACGTCGCCGGGGACGCCCGAGGGGCGGGGCTCGGGCCGGACCGCGCAGAGCTGGACCCGCCGCGCTGAATGCCGCGCAGCCGAGCACGGCGCTCGCTCGCTCTCTACACCGAGGTCCACCCGGTTTTAAAAGTATTTAAGCGTTAGTAAATTCACGAAAATTAGTGTCCGCACACCCTTCTTAGGAATATACCTACTGAAGTGGACGGGCTATGTTTAGAGCTACACGTAAGAAATACCCGAACTCCAACGTGGCAGGCTCAAGGTGGGTGGCCAGACGGCTAAAAACCAGCGGACCGTGACCTAGGTCGGCAGACTTAAAGGCGCCTTTACATGCACGGTTAACTTGCACTTTCTCAGGGGAACCTGAAACCATGGATCATTAATACTCTAAAAAATAAAACAAAACAAAAGCTGTATCATTGACCTGCGCCTCAATCTGACTACAATTTGGGATGGAGTGTTGTGACATCCTTTTATTGCAGTGGGTGAAAATACCTTCAAAACCGTGGACCACCACATTTATAGCGTCGCCAGAAGTTCAGCTCATAGGTGAGCTGCCAGCAACTGTCATCCAAAAATCCTTCTATGGTTTAGTAGTAAAAGGACCCATTTTTTGCTGGTACAGTTCTATCTATTTGATGTTTTATAAATATCCAAGGAACTTCACTCACATTAAGTTTGACAGGCTAAATTATCATTTTTAAATTATGCAGGCAGAGAATGGTGAAGTATTGGGACCCGCACCCACTGGGATACATCAAAACTGTCACTATGTATTTTATACCCTTTAAAAGGTAGGCTTTCAAATGGCAGCAATGTGTGCTGTAGCTTTTTTCTTTTAGACAGATTCCTCAGATAAGAAATAACAAAATATAAGAAAGCCCGACCTGCCCTAATGAGCTGGGTTGAAAATGAATACTGAGAGCTAACTCTGTTTAGAGATCATTTTAATCCAGAGCCTCCCCATCCTTTGGGGCCTCCTGGGGTAACTTGCCAATGGTCTTGCCCCACAGATTAAAGGAGTGGTGGTGTCACAGGCATCTTCCTAGAATACAGCTCTGATTATATGACTCTCTTGCTCCAAAACGGGCATAACGACTGAACGCTATGCGGCATGTTAGGTCCCCACCCTCTCCTCTCTTTCCCTCCCCGACTTGCCAGTCAAACCAGACTGAAGCATGGAAGTTGACCATAATTTGTGTCATTTGATGTGTGTGCAGAATGGTCTCTATGCTCCTCCCTCTGTGCACACCGCTGCCTGCTTACCTGCTTCCTGGCTTTACATCCCATGCATCTCTGCCTATTCAGATTGTGCATGCCTCTCCTCAAAAGCCACCTTCTCCGTGAAGCCTCCCAGGACCCTCTCCTCTGTCACCTATTATCTTAGGAACCACGTGGAAGCAGATGACAGGCTTATTCCTTTCCCCCCATGGAAGCCAGCAAGCGCTCTGCGCACAGTAGGCACTGACTCCCATAAGGCTTTGCTGAATTGAATTGTCGTTGAGAGGTGCTAGGACATTACTCTAGTTAGCAGCTTAGCCAACATTATGTTTTTTTCCCTAAAGTAGTGGAACTGTTTCTTCAAATGAGATGTTTCTAAAAACAGAATATAAAAAGCCAATAATAGGGAAGAAATCTGAAGTGGGGATAGAGGGGATAGACCCTCTTGTCTGCTCACCTCACAACCTACCCTCCCTTTCTTTTGGATTCCTTAGTGTTTGCAAGCTGGTTCTTTGACCATGTTGCACAGTTTGCACAATGACAAACTCTACTTAGGTGAGAGGGTTTGGAATATAGTCAGGAGAAACTGTGATAGATGATGAGGATAATGACAACTAACATTTATTAAGTAGTGACATGCCAGGCGTTGTTCTGGGCACTTTACATGAATTAACTCATCTCATCCTAGAAACCTATGAAGTAGATACATCTCCAATTTACAGATAAGGAAACTGAAGTACAGAGAGGTGAGCAACTGGCCCCCGACCACACATCTGCTAAGTGTTAGAAAGAGGATTCCATGGATATAGCCAGGACCAGTAATAAAACAACGGGAAGTTCAATAAGTTAACAAGAATAAAAGACCGATTATCTTTGGCTTAAAAGAAGAAGGTGACTTAGCAGCCGCTCTGTGAGAAGACTGAGGAGTTGCATTGACTGCAAGGTAAATTTGCACTAAAGCAAGGTTGCTAAAAGAAGTTAACATCCCCTGAAGCTGCATTCACGGACTGACATTCACTGACTGATGGCAGGTCTCTAGACTGGTCAGTCTAGAGAATGGAGTGAGTTCCAGAAGCCTTATTTTCAGACAGCAGGGTAGACTGGAACGCAGAAGAGGAGGCTGACCTCGCCTTTGGCAGCTGCCCCTCCTCCCCGAGCTCAGGGGAGAAGCATTCCCAGGCCCCTGCCTTCTTCTTCCTTCTAGACACCCCTCAACTATCCCCACTGTGCTCAGTATGACCTGTAGCTAACACTTTTACATTTCTAGAGCAAGTTTTCTTCTGAGCTCCAATATACCCAACTGTCTCCTGACTCTGGAGAATTTGAGGTGCAAGACCGTTTGGCAACTCCTCCAACTGACTGAACTCTCAGTCCTCCCCCAAACCTGCTCATCGCTACCCACTAAATGGCACGTCCGTTCATTCACCTAGTTGTTCAAGTGAGATGCTTAGGAATAAGCCTGGATGACTCCCTTCTCTATGTCTACACCCCATCTCTGAGTTTTTCCATTCTTTGCATTCCATCAAGGGTGAAAACCTTCAGGGTATGTGTCAGACTTGTATACTTTCTTTTTCATGTATCTAGCAAAGGGGAGATTATGTTTATGAAAGATTGTCAAAGGAGACTTTGGTCCTAGGACAATTCTGATTGCACATGAGAACCTTCTGGACTCAATTCATGGTATAAAAAAAGAACATACAGTTTATAATCACTGGAACTCTACCTTACAACACCCATAGCCAAAGTAGAACGCTTTTTAGGGACTGTAAGAAAATTTTGATTAGAGTGCACACATTTCTAGAAAGGGGCATGAGTCAAACCAGTTAATTATTCTTATCATAAAATGAGGAAGAAAAAATGCTATAATATGGCACATATGGCCTATTTCTTTTTCCTTCCTCTGAACCAATACAAATGGTTAAACTGAAATATTTAAGCAGAACATGTGGCTTGATTTCACTGGACAATAAATCATTTGCTAAATCTAAAGACAGTCTAAAAAAAAGAAAAGAAGTAGATATGAAAAATAATTTTATTGGGTGTGTTAAAATATTACTGGATCCTCATAGGCAGGTTTCTAGTGGTTTTGAAATGTTATACCTGGAATTCTCTTTCCGAGCTCCTCCTCGCTTACCACAGTTTGTATCTACGTCTATATTTATGCTGTTTTGCTCGGTAGCAGTCTGTCCTTTTAGATCTTTCCATGTGACATTTTGATTCACTACCTCACACCTGGAACACACAGATACTCAATAAATTTCTGTTGAATGTATGAATGCAGCCAAAGGAAATGGCATTGGATATATATCCACTTGGTGACCATTTCAAGGAATAGATGACGTACATTACTGAATATATTACATATATACAAGTTTTCTCTCCATCACCTTTATATTTAGGAACACAGCTATAATTTAAAACTCTAAGACTCCTCAAACCTTGGGAAATTGCAAAGTCATTGTCAAATTATGTTAACATGATGTTAAGTTTTAAAAATGAAAACAAGAAAGAGTTAGAAGGAAACAGACAAGTAGCACCTGAGTAGGCTTCTGCATTGCCCTGCGTGCGAGCTGGTAAACGTCTGGGTTATTAGTCCTCGTTGTGGTGTGGGAGTGCATACTGCTGGGAGAACCCTGTCTTCTCCGTGTCCTCATGGTCTAATTTGACATCCACTCTTGTGTTACATAGGGATTCTCCTGCTCTTTCTGTGCACTGAATAACTTACCAATTTGATGACAGGCTGAAAATTAAATCTAAATACTTCTGTCCCTCTAAAGACAGTCCAGGCTTTCTCTTGGCCCTGAGTAAAGCAATGACCATCTTGCCCTAGTCGTTCACAGAAGAGGAGCCCCATATTCCTTCCCAGTCCTCCTTGCAATAAAGAACTATCTGGATTTTGAAAAATTCAATGGCAGTAATTCTTTTAAAGAAAAGTAGTCTCTAAATATTAATTTTCCTGTTTGGGTTTATGTTAAAGCATAACTCCAGATTCTTTTCAGTTCAGTCTTATTTTAGGATGATTTTGGACTTTCCCAACAAAGGAAACAGCATGAAAGCAGAGGGAGGGGCGTGCAGTGTGGTCCTGACCGGGCATCAGGGTACTGGGCTCTGGTCCATCATGGGCAAAGCTGTGTTATTACTGTGTGACCTAGACTAGGCCCACTCTCTTCTCGGGCCTCAGTTTCCTCATTTATAAAATTGGAAAGGGAAGACCTGCAATCTAACAACAGGCGATAATGCCTTCATCAGGCCTTGGCACCAGGAGAGGTTGCTCAAAATCATTAAATTAAAAAAAAAATCCCTGAATTAAGCTAATTCCAGCAAAGTCTCAATGTGTTTTGGCAAAAATGTGAAGCAGTGAAGACTCCCATATACCATTGGTGGGAGTGTTAGTAGATATAACCTCCTCGGGAAAATATCGCATTATCTAATAAAGTTAAAATATGCATCCTCTACGAGCACCAATTCCACTTCTTATCCTTCCTAGCGAAACGCTAGCACATGTACCAGGTTGCAAAAAAGACGTTCAGAGCATCATTATCTGTCATAGCCAAAACCTGGAAATAACCCAACTGTCCATCAAGAGAACAGAAAATAAATTGTGGTATATTTTTCCAATCGACTACTATATAGCAATGAAAATAATTAGACACAACCAAACTCAAAACATGAATAAATCTTAAAAACTTAGTTTGAGTAAAAGAAACAGACCAAAATGGTATACAC